GAGTTAATGATCTACAAAAAGCACACAGTTATAATTAAATAGACTTGACAACCACCGACAAGTAATTTGTTTCGAACAAAAACTCTTATGATGTTAACAATGTAAAAATTTAATGTTATATGCGTGCATACATACTATGCCTTAAAAAAACGACAGACACGAAGCACAATACAGAATGTATGCAAATAAGATATCCAAGATGTTTGTAATTCAAAATAGCTAATACATTTAAATACTCCAACTCCAAAGCTAAAATATCAAACCATCTATTAATTGTAATTATTGTAATGTGTAATGTATCACTTCTTCATTGCGATAATTTATAATGGTCACTTTTTATAAAGTAAAATTGAATAAGACGAATAAACTGTTTTTGACCTTTGACCTCATATACACTATAAATGCGTGCAAAATAAAAAAGTCACACAGCTTGCATTTTATTTCAAAATGACTATCCAAAGTTTTGTGAAAAAGAAAATGGACGACGATAAAAAAAAATAAGATACCTATTTGAGTGAACATATTGGCTTTGAATTCTAATTAAAAACGCTTTATTAAGTTTTCTTCATACGGGATAACAAACTTTTTAAACACACATAAATTCTAAAAATCAACAAGGAAGTTTTCAGTTTATTGTTATCCATTTTGAATAACTTGAAAAATATTCATATGTTATTTAAAACCGTTAAAGGAGTGGTGCGCTGAAATAGGTTTTTTCAGCGTTCTTTATGCAAAGCAATAATATCTCCGGTGTCGTAAAACTTAATTTGAAATTATAACCGACAAATTTGTATTCCAAGCCTGATGCTTGCTTTCTTTTATTTTCTTTTAATGACGCTGTCGAAGGTCGTGTCGAATTGTTGTAAAATTACGACATTTTCTACCGATTTCGCTACAACAATGATTTCTGACATTATAAGTGAAGCGTTTGTCCTCAACTAAAGCAAGTTGCTTGCTTCAATCATAATGTAGAGAGAGAAAGAGAGGTGGGTTTAAACATTGTGAAAAGTTTTTACAAAATGATTTCGTAATTACAGAGATGTCTAATAATAATATATTTTGTCCCACATCAAGAATAGATGCTAATCTTTAGATATTCTAAATTAAGTTTGCAGTTTGTACATCAATCTTTGAGACATTTTTAAATGTTTGCGCATGCCAGAACACTATAACAGAAAATGAAAGGCGACACAATTTTTTATTGTTATATTCCAATGCCTTTTTTTTAAATTTCCATATTTCAATTTTGAAAATTTCTCTAAATTTTATGCAAAGGGTAAAAGAGAAAAGTTTGAAGTCAGGAAATTCATTTGCGAATTGTAGTGGCTAATTGAGCACCTCGTGCAGGGGTGATTAGTAGGTAAAAAAAAAGAATATAAAACACATCAAATTCAATCAAGTTTCCTGTTATTCTTGTCGAAATTTGAGCAACAAAAAAAAATCATCCACCAGGGATGTAAAAGAAGCATTGCCAATTGTTTGCTAACAAAACCCAATAGGATTACGCAAATCAAACATTATTAAATAAAAAAAAAATAACAATTAAGTAATTGAAGATTGTAGTTCTTGAAATTAGAACTATGCTTACATAATTTGATTTGGATATCTTTTAAGGTTTTGAAGAAGTGTATAGAATTCGATAATTATTTTAAAAGCTTGATACCGTTTCTCGAAAATTGCTCGTTCGTTGTCGTGTGTGGTGCATAAGAACTATTTTTGTCCTTTTTCAGGATTCAGGTGTGTTTTATGTTTTTTTTAATCCAGTATCTGAAATATATTTCGATATAGAATAAACCTCTTGTATCAGCTTTCATGTATTTACATTTACATTATTCTTTTCTTTTCTCTAGCATGTTTTTGTAGATTGTTACTTTATGCTATTGCTGTTAAAACGTTCAAAGCAATGAATGTTTTTATTTAGTATTATATTGTTTGTTTGTCCACGGGTTTTCCCACTATCTTACAAAGTACACCCACAGTAATAAACAGCAAGAAAAAAAAAACAGAAAATCATTATCAACAGCGGTTTAAGGTATTGTTTGTTATTTGCCCTGTGATGTTCAGTCACCAACAGTGCAGAGGTCTCCGAGTTTCACCGGAATAGCGAAATTTCATGACAAGCCATCTGCATCCCTTCTAATTTCTAGGGTATCTATTTTTAGTAGTGTTCTCCTCTCCCGATGGTTGACTTGATCCCAAGCAATTCCCATATTTCATACGATGTACCTAATAAGTGTTTTACATCCGTGCAAGATTAAATAGTAAGGAGTCACTAACATTTCCACGTTGTTTTTTTCTCTTCCTCCACGTTTTCTATCTGCTACTCTGTATATGCGAACCGACATGAAAAAAGAAAGTCACCACAGTCGTAGGTACCTATACTTCCACACACTTCCACAAATTTATATTCATTGTCTACGCTCATGTCCGTCTGCCGAAAATTAAGTAATATAATTTCGAAAGTTGTACGTTGACACGCCGTGCCGGCTGTTTATTTAACGTCTTTGTTTTTTGGAGCCGTCGTAAAGCCCAGAGTAAAACGTAATTACCGTGTGGGCATCCAATTTCGCGACAGGTATAAAAGGCGTTCCGCCACAGCCGCCGCCGCCGCCGCCACCGCCGCCGCCGGCGACGCGCCGCTCTTAAAAACCCGCTCGCAGGAAAATCGAAATATGAGTTGCCATCGTTTTAATCAACTACGCTCTTGCGACAGCACCAATGTTACAGGGCTAGCAGTTAAACTATTCAGAGATATTTGACATAAGTTGTTGGAATCTCAGACGTTATTTTTGAATTAGGTATGTGAAGACTATCTTAAACATCGAACTCGAAGTTTGTAAAAAATTATACAATTTGCTCTAATATGCTTCCTGAGAAAGTTTCATGCCTTCAAAAGTTTATTTGTCAAGAGTCGATAAAATTATTGAAAAGCGATACTAACACGTATTTCTAGTACGATAGTAAAAATAGAAAGTTTTGTAGAAAAGATTATATTAGTGAGAAAGGCTAACAATAATGTTGAAAACTATACGACTCTATAAGCAGGAAAGGAAAAGGTCCTCTTCATTTAGTAGTGAAAGGCATCCAAGGTATTGTTTGCCATTATATTTACGATAGAGTTAATGATTGAAGAAGAACAATAAAAATCTTGGTTACCAATACCAACTTTTCGAAAATTTCTATGAAAGTTACAATCACCATTCGCTTTGAAAATGAAATTCAAAATATTCAGGGAAATGGTTTGCCATTGGTCCCTCACAATGAACAAAATCTAGCTCAAAGGATTTTTTTTTAAATTGCAAATGCAGTACAATCTAGTGCAGCCCTAAGAGCCCTACACTCTTAGACTCTGTATATTGTTGAGGTGCACTCAAAAGATGTCCGCTAGTTTTGATTTTCCAAGAGGACCTACATTGCTTCGAATAAATAGAAAATAAAACGCTTTTCTTGTACCTAGCAAAAATTGGCAAATATATTAAATAACATTCTGAGATAAAATCAGTTAATTTTTTGAACACACAAAAATTAGATCAACGTTTATGTAAAAATATATCAATTCTATATTATAACTAACCAAAAAAGTGAATCAAAAATTGATAGAAACATTTTTTCAAACTTGATATGTAGTATATGTATAAAGGATTTTCGCAAATCGATTATAGAATGCTACACTCCAAGATTAAACAACAACCCAGACTCGCAACCGGTCTATAAATTGGCTACCCCGCCTTTTTCCCAAAATAAATATTTAACGACGGGTAAGCCGGCGAGGGAAGAAAAACACCATAATATTCTTCAATTCGTTATAATTCCTTCGAACTCAGTGATAACAAAGCAAGTAATTCCAGAGTATTGTTAAAATTCTTTCATTCATAATGTACATATCAACTTCTATTAACAACTATTACATCTGGTACATCTAGAAAAGTTTACTAAGGAGACCAAATCAAATAACGTTTAGTTAGTTAATAACCTACTACTTACGTTGCGAGAAATTTTATTTTCTCATTTATTCGTAAAGGGCATCAGCTAGTTAAAACCAGGCAAGTTCATGAAAGAATCTTTTCGTCTTTCATTATTTAGACAAAAGCGAATTAAATAAAGAATTTACGAACGACAGCTGGTTTACAAAATGCCCTCTTATTGCGACTACGATCTGGTTTGTTCACTTGGTAATTTGATTCCGAAAATTGAACGATGTTGCTATTAAGCACCTGCAGAATATCAGTGAAATTTAGGATTGATTTGCTTGCAAAAACACAATAAACAAATCACTACATCTCTTATAGACTTTTTCCAGTTAATTTTTAAAAGTGCGTACTGTACTGACAATGCAAGTACCTAATTATCCATCTTTTCGACATTATTGCGTCATTGAACGGACGTGGCTTTTACTTGATGAAAATCCATTTATCAAAATAAATAAGAACTAAAAGTTCAGATTTTCACGAAATTATATATTATGACATGACAATTGTTTCAACAACATTTGATAAAGACACAATTGTCATGTCATAATATACAATTTCGTGAAAATCTGAACTTTTAGTTCTTATTTATTTTGATTATTGCGTCACTCTATAGTAATAATTAATAATGTCTCACCAGTACTTTCTTACTGACTTTTGCTTCTTTCGAGATCTAAATTAATCGTAGGTACGTAACAAGATACCCAAATTATTCTGGTAATAAACCAAGAACATAGTAATCGTAGGTTACAGAAATTAATTACCTAGGAAATTTACTTGATGAATCAAGACATCTTTAATAAAAATCTAAACAAAGTGCTTACTGACCATTAGTTTTTATAATCAAACTATTTTTGAAATGGCTTTAAATTAAGCGTCTATTCGCTTTACATCAAAAGTGAACCAAAAAATCTTTTAAATAAGTATTACGGAAATCTTCCCTGCACGTATATTTCCGGATCAGTCGAATATTTAGGCAGCTTGTATCAAACTGAACGTGATAAAAGAAAGTACACTTATTTTCCAACTTACCGGAATTCATTGCAGGCAATCCAAAAGGTGCGCCCCCTTGAAAAACCGTTCCGGGTCCACCAAATGGCCCCACAAGTCCTTGCTGGGACCAATTTTGATGAGCCGCTTGGTATACGGCTGCCAACGCGGAAAACGGTGTCGGTCTAATAGGACCTTGTCCCAGCATCCCATCTTTTTGAAAAGTCCTCTGATTCGGGATAGCATCCTCATCTTTATTTCGACTGTCGTTAGATTGCTGATCCGCGTTTAAGTCTTCAACGTCAACTATCGAATCCTCCTCTTGATTCGAATCGTATTCTTCATCCGATGTTAAATTATTGGGACTACTCGGCGCTGCAACTTCATTTACCGGGGGACTATTTTGTTTTACCGGCCTCGTATCGGCCAACAGGGACGCTACACTAAAACTAATATGTCCGTTTTTGCTAGTCAAGGGTTGCTGAGCACTACTGGTCGCATTGTCACCAATATTTTGCATAGTTTCTCCACCTTTATTGTCAAACGTTTCTAAATTTTGGACAGTCATTATTTGAGAAGTATCTGGCTTGTGTTTGAGCATAAGCAAAGTTTACTGCTGACACCGACGCACTTCACATCCTAGGGCGCGCTTAATTTATTACCTCCACTTTACTAAGTAATCGTTCAAAGATGGCTATAACGCCGAGAAGGTGCTTAAACTGAACTGACCAAGTGACTGAAAGTAAGCTATCTTCCGTGAATATCTGAATGGGAGGAGCTGAAAGAGGGGCGTTGCTGCAGCCACTCCCACAATTTAAACACGTCGTTACGAATATCAGCCAATAAGGTTTAGCCGTCCTTAACTACCTTGCAGTCGCACACTTCGGCAGTGGTGGTCGGAGTGCGTTTTATTGAAGATTGAATGCAGTATTTGTTCGGTCCGCTGAAGCGATACCTCTATACCGCTTGGCGCATTTTTATTATGGCCTTAACTAGAATTTTAAGAGTTAACACTTGTTTTGAACGGTGTAAAATTGGTCCTTCAAGTTGCTGTCAGTTAATTGCGGCTTGTGGAGTGAAATTTCGTTACGCACGTGCATTGATACTCAAGTTCTCGGAAATTGTTAATATTATAAGTTAATAAAAGTCTTGTCACACATATCTAATTATTTGGAAAAGACGTACATTTTTGATATTTGTTTTTCACAATTATATTTAAGACAGGAATTCTGTTATGACCGAGAAGTGAAGACTGATTTATTTTGTTGACCATTCTCGTGTTGCTGAGAAAATCCAATAAAGAGTTTGAAAAAAGTTTAAAAGTGAAACTATATTAGAAAAAACTTAAATAAATAAACTTAAGATGAACAGCCTTCGTGAAATCATTGAGATAAATTTATCTATAAAAATTAGTAATAAAAAATGTTCTCTATTAAAAATGATTTATTTATCAAAATTAACTTGGAGTAGGAAACATGTCTCTCTATTACAAAAATAATAATAATTTTTTAAAATTTAATAATGTCTTAACATTTAACACTAAAGCCGGGAACAGGTTGCATCAGAACATGATAAGTCAGAGCAATCTGTCCCTGGTATAAATGGTAATATCACTACTTATGTGGAACGTAGTAATTCAAAGTAAATTGTTCATAAGATAATATTTACTATTGTTTCCGAGGCTATATTTTTTTGTCTCCCATTTTGTTGTTGAATATTTTTGATAACAATTGACTCTTTATGAATTCAAGGTGAGGCAAACTAAAATACAATGCGCAAGATACATTTTTTTGAAAGAAGAGGTTTATGTACGTCTGCATATTGTTTTCAAGACACAAAAACAGGTGTCATTCACTTTTGTTGTTTTCGGTTTTTTTATTAAGCAACTAAAAACACAAGTGTTTTGTTGCTTTCTTTATTGAACTTTTTTTTTCCGCGAAAAATAAAAACTAATTAGTAAAACCCTTTTTCTACAACCACATTTGTAAAATACTTTAAATCTCAAATTTCATATTTTCCCAATCCTAAAAAAATACAAAGTCAAAATATTGTGTCAAGATTATTGTGTTCCAGGACGTCAGTGCACTTAATAATTTTTATTTAATTCGGCCAAATTAGCTACTATACCACTGACAAATTGAACCTTAATGGGCTAGAAGATGGTTTTGATAATTTATGAAAGAACGATTTGTTTTAGGTTTGCCGCCGGTATCTTGGGAGTATGCATTTCCGGATTACCTTTAAAGTTTGGCAGTCCATAACACCCTGCATTACTATAAGCTATCTCTTTGTGTTATGGATTATTGGAATTGGCCCATTAAAACACTGCATTTTTTCACTGAGGGGACTTACATCATGCCCCCAGTGTAAAAACAATGACAAAACAACGCTCATATTGCACATATGAATAATTACCAAAAAAAGAAATAAACGAATATGTACGAAGATGAATGCATACGAAACCCAGACAACAATCATTAATAACATTCATACACTGTTTTATGGAGGACGGCAAAATCTGTTTTCATTTTCCATTTCACGGTTAGGTGCACGCAGTTTGACGGATATTTTGTAACGATGATGAGATGCTGCTTTTTTACATCCTCCCGTATATACGCCGCGCACCATGTGTAACGTTATATTATTTCGGTGCATAATTTTTAGCACATGTCTTGACGGTTTGATTTACGTGCAATTTCTGCAATATTCAAGATTTGAGATAACTTGGCGAGTGTGATGTGTGATTAATTACGGCATGTCTTCGATAGTGTAACGCACAAAGCTGAGCCAGTGTGATTGTCATCAATCTGGTTGCAAGATGAAGTTAGGCACCAAATAATCAAGATTTAAAACTTAATTTCATCCTAAGTCAAGCTTCTTCAGTATCTCGTATTCATAACATTTATAGCACTGTGAAATCTAAGATGATCGGTAATAAATCATCACGACTATAAATTCAACGTGGTCGCGGTGTCCACAATATTATTAGAATTGATGGTAGCGAGGATGTTTAAGAACACTTTTTGAGACCATAATTTCTTGATTATAAATGAGTTTTATATACAGCAGATTATAGGCAACCTTTAGACGAATATCCATACAGATAATAGAAGAGTTGTTAGCTTTTAGCCTCTCAGTAATTGCGACCCAAAGGATATGTTGTGATCCATAATTAAGAGCTTTATCTAGGTTAGGTTTCTCTGATTATATTAATAGTGGCTGGCTGGTATACCTCGTTAACTCTAGCTTGGTTGCGACAAGCATCGTTGATAAGCCTTCACAAAGACCTATCAGAATTTCTTGACAGAATCTGCATTCTGTAATAACAACACTTCCACAAGTGCAGTAAGAGTTATTTATTATTTATAGTTGCCATAGCCATAGCACAATCTATGTAATGTAACTTTTTCTCTTTAGGAGGGAAAAAGAGGAACCGAGAATTCAGAGACCAGCCAGTTACAGGCGCTGAGAACTCGACTAAGCTAGCTTTAAGAAACGGGAGCCCAAAGGCAAGTCGTTATCCAAGTCGGCCAGCGGATACCTACCAACTGAGGTTTTCACCTCAATGCGGCATTCTTAAATACTCGAACATTTTCTAGCTAGGCGCTTGTTTAGAAAGCTTTTGGATTCTATTACACCAAATATAATTATAAACCTGATTTGAATCCAATCCATAGGTTATTGCAGATTGCAATATTGCAAATTGACAAAACATAACAACAATAAAATTCCTGAGGGATGGTCTTATCTGTTGTTTATTGTAATAAACTTATTGACAGTTTTTGTACTATTTAAAAAAAAACGTGATTCCCTTCAATATTGGCTTCAAATGGCTACAGCGAAATACGGTAGTGAATATAAAAAATTCTCAACGTTCTCATAGATCCAACAAAACCTTAATTTCACAAGTTAACCATCTTAAAAAGTAATAAATTTTTTAAAAGTGGGAACCGAACAAATGCCGGTCAGATAAAATCTAAATTTCATTTAATATAACAAAAACACATATTCAAATGTCATCCAAAGGTGGGAAGGCTTAGCATGTAATTTGTCCGTTGTCACATGTACACGGATGACAACAATTGATATTTTACTTATATTAGGAACTTTTTGCTAATGACCGTTTCATCATAAAAGATTATTTCCTATCCAATGAGCCACTTTGAATATATCGGTTGCATCAATTCTGAATCCCACAACATAAAAACTAAGTATAATGTTTTTATTTAAAGGAACTTTAAATAAAATAATGTTGGCTTCTTCAGAGTTTAACTGAAACTGGTTCGCATTATACTCTGCACCTGTTTATATATATTTTTAAGGGGGCGGAGCTAGGGAGGGACATGAATATTGTCTCCGATGACATATTAGTGACCTGTAAAGATTATTTGGTTGCTTATAGCTTTCTATCTCGTGTGGGGTTAACTAGTTCCCCCATCGGGCGCCTCCCCAGGTCGCGGATCGGGGAATGTCTCCCAGATATGGGTGGTACCGGGGAAATGAAATACCCGGGGCGGACCAAAAACTAGTGAAGCGTCTGTTCTTCAGGTGAGAAGCGGCTTCAAACGACGTCTGACTCCATGTTAGGGGCGGTCGAGGACCAGAAGGAAAACTACAGAAGGCAACGGGAAACCACTGAAGTATTTTCCCAAGAAAACTACATGGAAGAAGTTGAAAGTGAACGGCCCTCAGTCTCCGGCAAAAAGAGGGTGCTAAGAATCCCCGGAGTCAAAAATAAATTTAACATAGGATCATGGAATGTGCAAAGCCTGTTCGAGGCTGGAAAACTCGCAAACACCATCAAAAAAATGCGAAGACTAAACCTAGCACTGTCAGGAATATGCGAAACAAGGTGGCCTTCCTCTGGACGTTGCATTACTGACGACGCAGTATTTTACCATTCTGGCAACGAAGATCAATATCACAGACACGGAGTTGGCATTATCGTGGATAAACACCTAAGCAAGGGTGTAACAGATTTTATACCATACAATGATAGAACAATGCTACTAAAAATTGAAGCAAAACCAATAAATATCAATATAATTCAAGTATATGCCCCCACCCTAGACAAATCCGAAGAAGAAATTGAATCCTTCTATGAGGACATCAAACAGCTCATAAAGTACACGAAGCCGCATGATCTGAACATTATCCAAGGAGATTTTAATGCCAAAGTGGGCAAAGTGGACAAAGGAGAAAGGAACATTAGAGGAGACAGACTAATACAATTCTGTCAAGAAGAACATTTTAAAATCATGAATACTTGGTTCTCCCTACCTCCGAGAGAATTTTGTCCTCGTTAACAAGAGGTTCAGCACAACCGTCTCAAGAGCGCAGACGTACCCGGGCGCCGACGTGCCATCCGATCATTGTCTTCTAACGATAAGCATAAAGCTAAAACTAGCTTTGTGCAAGGTCAACAAAGGTCAAATAAGAAAATTAGACACCTCGAAATTACAGCAGGAGGAGATAAAGTCTGATCTTAGGAACAAACTAAACCAAAAATTGAAACAAATAAAAGACCAAACAGATCAACAACCACTGGAAGTATGGGAAACAGTTGAAACTACCATAAATAACGTCACAATTGAATGTCTGGGATATGAAAAAAGACGCAGCAAAAAGAAATGGATGACTGACGAGATCCTACAACTAATGGACAAACGCAGACAGCACAAGAACACT